CTAGAACATACAGGTAACTCACCGTTTGAATGTATCAATGAGGAGTAAATTGAATTCACATGACAATAAATAAAAATAAAAATAGTAGAACTTTGAGTTAATTTTGCACCTACTGTTATACTAATAAATCACTGACTATATCAAAGTAATTCAATAAATAAAAATAATAGAATGTTGAGTTAATTTTGCACCTATTGTTATTCTAATAAATCACTGATTATATCAAAGTAATTAAATAAATAAAAATAGTAGAACGTTGAGTTAATTCTGCACCTATTGCTATACTAATAAATCACTGACTATATCAAACTAATTAAATAAGGCACTGGCTAATTAATTTCATTCTCTGGAATCCAATCTCCGTATAGTATTACATAAATTATATATTATATGTTTTTATAAATTTCTTGGCAGCTGAGCTACTCGGTAACACCGTTTGGAGCTGTACAACGTCAGCTTCTGAGAAGTAACACTATGTTTATCCACAATGTGTAATAGTGTCAATTATGTCCGACAATCATATAAAATTGATTATGTCTAATTAAAATTTTTAATAAAAAATTATCCATATTCCGATATTTTCCCAGTACAACCTGGGTTAGAGGTAAATAATTAGGAAAAACTATTTAAAAGGGCTTTTTTAAAATAAATTACAATTTGACCTTTTCTAAATTGGTTTAGTAGATTAGACCATTCATCCATTTTTTTTTTTTTTCATTTTTAGTCCCCCATAACTTGTAATTAATGTTCAATCAAGAGAAGACAAATATATAAAATATTTTATATCATCAACAATATGTCTAGAATAATAGAAAATTCAACCTGTTTATACCAATGGACTAAAATTCAATCTATTTGTATCAATGGGCTAGCCAAATAACCTACGTTATACATTAAATTCGTGAGGAATGAAATCTCAACGCGTGTCCTATGACTGAGCAATTACTGTATAAACTCTTTCCACGTGTCTTGTGACCATGCAAGTTTTTGGGCCGTGTATTATATCAAGAAAGGATGGCTTTCTCTGTAAGACTGCCATAGTTTGCCTTAATAGTAAGATTCACAGTTGAGAGGTCATTCAGATCACGTGACACCTTATAAGAAGAATGTTTCACTATTAAGTCTCCAATCAGGGTGATTTGTGAGGCGTCATGCGATAAAAACGTTGCTTCATGAGCAAGACCACCGATGCAACACTATAATATGATTCTCTCAACGGAAGACAATATATAGTGTTTAATATCATCAACAATATGTCTGGAATAATAGAAAATTGAACTTATTTATATCAATGGGCTAAAATTCAATCTGTTTGTATCAAGGGGTTAGCCAAAACCTATGTTATACATTAAATTCGCAAGGAATGAAATCTCAACACAAGTCCAATGACTGAGCAATTAGTATATAAACTCCTGCCACGTGTCCTGTGACCATGCAAATGTTTGGGTCGTGTGTTATATCAAGAAAGGATGACTTTCTCTGTAAGATTGCTAGGGTTTGCTTCAACAGTAAGATTCACAGGCCACAACTGAGCTGATATTCAGATTACATGACACCTTATAAGAGAACGGCTTCACTATTAAGTCTCAAATCAAGGCAATTTGTCAGGCATCATGCGATAAGACATGAGCAAGACCACCGATGCAACACTATAAATAAGATTCTCCCATCCCAAATCAGGGGTTTGGAATTTCATTTTTCTCAATAGCTATAGAGCAATTATCTCTCTTGAGCAAATATCTTCTATAAACACATCAATAAAATAATAGTTGACGTAGGAATTGCGCCTTGCATTCGAGCCACTTTAAAAATTGTTCTTGTCTATTCTTTTATTTTCGTTCAAGCATTATTTTTATTATCTTTTACGATTACAAATTCAACATCATATTTCACAATCTCACACGAATCCTTTGCCTGAACTCGCTAAGAAAGCCCATCGTCTAGTGAATATCAATCGTCAATCGTCTTCACAAAATGTAGGAGGAAGTAGAGCCTAAAATTCGGCAAAGTTGAGTGAATCAACTCAATGTAATACAACAAGTCATGGCTGCGCGCAAAAAGTATCGACCAATAACAACATAGAAATTGACAGGTTCAATAATCGACTTGCTCAAGAAACTTGAAAGGAGAACATAATTTTAATTCTTAGATGTGTTAATACAGAGCGGGATGTTGATATAGTCATATCAAATTAGTTCTAATAAATGATTTGACAAACTAGAACATACATGCACCTTTTGAATGTATCAATGAGGAGTAAATCGAATTCACATGACAATAAATAAAAATAAAAATAGTAGAACGTTGAGTTAATTTTGCACCTATTGTTATACTAATAAATCACTGATTATATCAAAGTAATTAAATAAATAAAAATAGTAAAACGTTGACTTAATTCTGCACCTATTGTTATACTAATAAATCACTGACTATATCAAACTAATTAAATAAGGCACTGGCTAATTAATTTCATTCTCTGGGATCCAATCTCAGTATGGTATTACATAAATTATATATTATATGTTTTCTTATAAATTTCTTGGCTGCTGAGCTACACGGTAACACCGTTTGGAGGTGTACAACGTCAGCTTCTGAGAAGTATGTATTGCTGGCTGCGTGGCCAGGTCAAAGATTTGACAAAGCCTTAATTAATTAATTACTTCAGCCTTCTCAATTTCTCCCTATAAATAAGAAGGGGGGAAAACAAAGCTATACCAAAAAAGACTCAAAACTTATTAAGAGTTACAAGCTAATAATAACTAGCATTAATGGCTTCACGTAGCATATTCCAGCTTCAGGTTTTTCTCATCTTTGCTCTTGCAACAACAGCTTTCTCATCCGTGTTATCTCCTTATTACTATGAGAAAGTGTGTCCTAAAGCTTTGCCAACTATCAAACGAATAGTCGAAGTTGCTGTTTACAAAGAACGCCGCATGGGTGGCTCTCTTCTACGTCTTCACTTCCATGATTGTTTCGTTCAAGTAAAATACCAAACTGTTAACTCTTTTCTCATTCTCATTTGGATTTTATAAGTGTTATTCATTCTCATATACTTTGTCATTGTTAATATGCAGGGTTGCGATGCATCGCTTCTCCTGGATGCTACATCCACCATCGACAGTGAAAAGAATGCACGTCCGAACCTAAATTCCACCAGAGGATTCGAAGTCATCGACCAGATTAAAAAAGAGGCTGACAAAATTTGTGGACGCCCAGTTGTTTCTTGTGCAGACATTTTGGCTCTTGCAGCTCGTGATTCTGTTGTTGCGGTGTGTACTTAGAAATCCTTTCTTTATCATATCTTTTATTATTATTTTTTTCCTGGGTATCTTCCTTTCTGGTCAAGTGTTAGACGATTACGTATCCGAATATACACGCAATCACCAACCAATGCATGAAACTTAAATAAGAATGAATTTTCTTTATATATATCAACAATTTTCTATGGCTAATTTGTATATTGAAAATGTGCAGCTCGGAGGACCATCGTGGAAGGTACAGTGGGAGAAGAGACTCAACCACAGCTAGCAGGAACTTAGCCAATGACAACCTTCCATCGCCAATCAGGACTTCCAGCTCTAATCAAAAACTTCAAAACCAAGGCCTCAACGAGAGAGATTAGTGGCGCTCTCTGGTGGCCACACTCTGGTTTGTCACAGTGGGTCTCTTTAAAGAGAGAATTTACAACGGAACAAACATTGATTCTGGCTTCGCAAAAGAGCGAAGAAAGACATGCCCACGTACAGGAGGAGACACCAAACTTTCTCCTCTGGACCCGACATTTGCACGCTTTGATACTGCATATTTCTCCAACTTGATAAAGAAGAAGGGGCTTCTTGAGTCAGATCAAGCACTTTTCAGCGGTGGCTCAACTGATAAACTCGTAAAGACTTATAGCTATAACCCAAAGGCTTTCTCTGCGGATTTTGCCAACTCTATGATTAAGATGGGGAACATAAAAGTGTTGACAGGAAAGCGGGGTCAAATTCGTTCGAACTGCAGGAAGGTGAATCACTAGAGTGGCTGTTGCCGTTCTTGTATTTCTGGGTTCAATTCATTTATTTCATTTACAAGTGTAAAAAAAAGCTTATTCTATTAAATTTTCGCCGAAATAGGTTTGTTGTTAGTCCTTCCAGCCAATCGAAATTGTTGGACACAAATTTGATATTAACCTCAGTTATTTCTAAATGATGTCTGTTTGCTTTAAATAAACATTTCAAAGAATAGTAAACCATAAACATAGAAGTATAAGATTACATCATTTAAATTTTCCCCATTAAATGATAATAGTTTATACATAAAAAGCAATTCACCATCTAGCCGATCATCATTCGTCACTATACTCAATAAGAAGTATTTCATTAAATATATAAATTTCAGCAAAGTTGATCGGATCAACTCAATGTAAAAACGAACAGGTGCAAAACAATCGGCGACGGTGATAGGCAAGAAATTAATAGACTGGTTCAGTAGTAATGTGATTCAAGAAACTTGAAAGAAAAGCATAATACTAGCTCTGACCCATCATATTCTTAGTTTTTATTTCATAGATTTCCGCCCAAATCGTTGATATTCAACAATCCTTTTTCTTAACAATATTTAATTTTAGAACAATTTGCAATGTGAAAGTAGCCAATATATATATATATATATATCAGCCTTTTGAATAAATCAATAATGCAGCCGGGATCAAATATATGACCTTTTTTTTTTATTTGCACTTACTATGTGTATATATATAAAGTTAAGGCTTTCACTAGCTCTTATACTAATATACTAATAACTATATTAAAGTGGAGAAGGTAGTGGTTTTAGCCCTCACAATGATGTTCATTACCTTCTTTTTTTAAGTCTCAAACTCGTTTAAAAGTACAAAAAGTTGTAAAATGGGCTACACGGTTAGCTGTAAAAAGTGACCTTCTGAGAAGAATTCATTTCGGCCAGGTCCAAATTGAGAAACCCTTAATCAATTAATTACTTCGATAGCTCTTCAATTTCTCCTATAAATAAGCGGAAGGAAAACACAACCTACAGCACAATAGACCAAAAACGTGTTACAGGATACAGTTACTAGCTAATTTTCAGCCATGGCTTCACGTAGCATATTCCAGGCTCATGTCTTTCTCATATTGGCTCTGGCAACAACAGCTTTTTCAAAAGCACTGTCTCCTTATTATTATGAGAAAGTTTGCCCCAAAGCTTTGCCAACTATCAAACGAATAGTCGAAGCTGCTGTTTCCAAAGAACGCCGCATGGGTGCTTCTTTACTACGTCTACACAATCATGATTGTTTCGTCCAAGTACAACAAAAAATAAAACTTTTAACTGTTTTAACTTTTTTTCATTTCATGTATGTACTTTTGATTTATAATTAACGTACTCTGCATGCATTCTCATTTACTTGGTCATTTTAACGTAGGGTTGTGATGCTTCCATTCTTCTGGATGCTACATCCACCATCGACAGTGAGAAGAATGCATTTTCCAACATAAATTCCGCCAGAGGATTCGAAGTTATCGACAAGATCAAAAAAAAGATTGACAAAATTTGTGGACGCCCTGTGGTTTCTTGTGCAGATATTTTAGCTGTTGCAGCTCGTGATTCTGTCGTTGCGGTGTGTATCTAGTAAACCTTCTCTTATCTCTTTGTCTCATTTTTAACGTTTCTTGTTTTTGGTATTTTGCTTTTTGATCCAGCAAAAGACTAATATGTATCTTAAGATACACACAAAATTACCAAAAATTAGTTGGAGAGTAGTGGGAAATAGGATATATAATATGCATGAAATTAGCTCTAATTAACAATTGAATCTTCTTTTTATTTGTGGGACAAGAGTCTTCGTGATTATCGATAAAAGTTATTATATATGATATGGCTAATTTTATATTAAAAATTTCGCAGCTTGGAGGGCCAACATGGAAGGTGCCATTAGGAAGGAGAGACTCAAACACAGCAAACAGGACCTTAGCCAACAGTGACATTCCATCGCCATTCATGGACCTCCCTGCACTAATTGACAACTTCAAAAAGCATGGCCTCGGCGAGAGAGATTTAGTGGCGCTCTCTGGTGGTCACACTCTTGGTTTCGCGCATTGTCGTAACGTTAGAGAAAGAATTTACAGTGGAACAAACATTAACTCTGACTTCGCAAAAAAGCGAAGAAAGACATGCCCACGTAAAGGAGGAGACACCAAACTTGCTCCTATAGACCCAACTCCTGCACGCTTCGACAATTCATATTTCTCCAATTTGTTAAAGGAGAAGGGGCTTTTTGTATCTGATCAAGCACTTTTCAGTAATGGCTCAACTGATGGCCTCGTTAAGACTTATAGCTACAACCCAAAGGCTTTCTCCACTGATTTTGTAAAATCTATGATTAAGATGGGGAACATAAAAGTGTTGACAGGAAAGCGTGGTCAAATTCGTAAGAACTGCAGGAAGGTGAACAGCTACTACTGAGGCACTGGCACTCGTCGTTTTCGGTTTTTGTTTTCAATGAGTGAAACTGCTTTGGAAAGAATTTGTTAAATAAGAGGCTTCTGTATGTTCCGTAATAAGTGTGCACGGAAGATATTCATAGCCTCATCGTGAACTGTGAGAATAAGTACTCAGTTTAATTGTATCTAAACATGCTTTTCTCTTTTCTTTTTATTAATCAATTAAAATCTTGTGTAATAATATTTACTCTTTTAAATCATAATGGTCATTATAGTTCATCAAATAACATCTTTTTGGGGTCATCATGGCTGGACCAATTATTTTTAGCCCAATATCAAAGTCGGACCCAATTTTTCACAGCTCTTTTGTGCCAAAGAAATTGGTCTTTAAAGAGAAAGAGTGAAGCTATTAGCACCACATTAATGTACTAAAGAAACCCATTTCCGAAGAGGTAATATTATACTCACAATCCAATCTCATAAATTTTTTCTCACAACCCTTAAGTGACAGTTTTTAGTTTTTTTCTAATAAATTTTTGGTCACCTTGAGGATAGACAGTGGATGGTGCCACCCCGAGGATAGAATATGAGTGGTCTAGTGGATTGTATGTATTAAGGACCTATACTTTAGAGTTGTAATCCAGGTCCCCTGGGTACTAGTATGGTGGTAGTGAGTATGAGTACGTATATGGATCGGTGGTTGTGTGACATTTATCAAGCTTTTACATGAAATATATTTTTCTCTTACAAGTATTTTTCTTTATAAATGTATTATCCACTCATTGGGCTTCCCAACTCACTATTTTATGTTTTCTCCCCCTACGGTTTACTACAAGGTTCGTGTGGAGCTACTTGTACGCTCTAGGTTGGCCTACGGATGCATGTTCTACCTCATGATGTGTGTTCATTTAGTGTACTCTGATACTATGTTTTGTAACTGACTTTCTGTATTTACATTTCCAAAGACTACTTTTATGCACATGGATAACTGTTTCACTTAATTTATTTTATAATAAATGGATTTAATGAATGACTTTTTGATTTATTCACCTTCCTCTCAGGTCCCTCGGAGCGCCTAGATTCGATGGGATAGGGACTACCCGAGAGGGGGTGTAACATCGTAAACATATACAAAAACAATAATCAGAACAATGGTTATTAGTATCCTATGATACGCAATACATATCCTACGATACGAGTCACCAACAATACGTATCAGAGAGTGTATCCTAAACTTTTCGATACGTTGATATGTATCTTACGATACGATATATATCCGTTCGTAATATCGATACAAATCGATATGATTTTATTAATTTGGGCCAAAGGCCCACAAAAAATTTCAGGTCGGATCCGAGTCACCCAACTCAATTCACTAAAACCTACCCAAATTTACCAATTTTATATGGAGAAAGTAAAAAGGAAGATGTATTACCCATTTTGCATGATAATAACAACACAAATAGAGATATAAATATTGATATTGATCTTAGAAATGATATGAATGGTTGAGAGGAAAAAATATAAATTCTTAATTTTACGATTAATTTTGATTATATAATACTATAATTTAAGACTAATAATACCATAAAATTTATTAATTAATCACGTGGATGATATTAATTTTTAGAAGAAAAAAACTATTATTTTATTAAATTTTTTTTAAAGATGTATTTTACGAGTTTTAAAAATTAGATTTTCAATATAACTTACTATAAAAAAAAAAATCTAACAAACCAATCATGAACAAGAAAAGTATGGTGAGTGCATCGAAGCTAGCTAGGTGCCGGGGTCGGGCCTATCTGCCGATGCAAAACAGTTTTCCATTATGCTTGCATGAAAGATCAATATGTCAGGACCTAACCCAAGCCCATCGTCCTGTGAATATCGATTAACTACACAAAATATCTGAGAGTTCATCGTGGAAATAAAGGATATAAGTCGGCAAAGTTGAGTGAATCAACTGAATGTAAATATGAACAAGTCAGGGCCGGAAAAAGTATTCGACCAATAAATAACAAAGAAAATGACAGGCTCAGAAATCGACGTGCTCAAGAAACTTGAAAGAAGAGCATTATTTTAATTTTTATATATAACAGGATCAAAAACAAAGTTAAATTAATGATTTATAATATTATTTTTGAAAAAAATATAGATAAACCCTTATAAAATTATAATTACACATGTAATAATTAAGTCAAACATTAAATAATATATTTATTTATATTTATTTGATATTTTATGTTTGATTATAAATATTTAATTATTTATTTTCATCCATAATAAACATTTAAAAGTTATTATTTAACATAAATATCTTAATATATATTAATTTATTAATCAAATAATAAGTTAAGCTTAAATTTTAATAAAAATATTTTGAAAATGAAAATTAATAAGATTTTTGATACATAGAAAAAAACTAAAATTTTCTTATATATTTATATGACATATAAAATATCAAAAAAGCCCTATACACAAAATACCAAAAAAAAATTATATTCTTTAATATTATATCAATTTAGTCTCGGTTATTAATATTGGTTTTGGTCTGATTCTTTTAATTTGAAACTAAAACCGGAATCACACACTATCAATACTAATTTTTTAGAACTGAAACTTATATTATTACGATCGGTTCAAATAAAAATCCATACTGACACCGGTCACCCGTTGGTTCCGTTCTACCCTCAAATTTTGCCCACCCCAAATAACTACACAAAATTTATGATGAGAAGTTCATCGAGGAAATAAAGTACAAAAGTCGGCAAAGTCAGTGAATCAACTGAATGTAAATATGAACAAGCCAGGGCTGCAAAAAGTATTCGACCAATAATAACAAAGCAATTGACAGGTTCAGAAATCGACTTGCTCAAGAACTTGAAAGAAGAGCATTATTTTAATTTTTATATATATTAATACAGAGCGCTGTGTTGACAGAATCAAAAACAAAGTTAAATTAATGGTTTGACAAAGTATAACATATATATAACTCACCTCCTTTTGAATCTACCGATGATAGGTAAATCGCATATACATGACGAAACATATTTTTCTCTATATATAATTCGGTTGACTTTAAATTATTAATCGATTTGTAATTCGAAATAGTAGAACGTTGAGTTTTGCACCTATTTTTCTATTATACTAATACATCACTAGCTAATGATTTTCATTCCCTCAAATCCAATCTCATTTTAATATTACATAAATTAATATATAATATGTATAAATTAATATATAATATGTTTTCTCATAGATTTCTTGGCTGATGGGTTATCTGGTCACACTGTTTTGAGCTGTAAAACTTGAGCTTCTGAGAAATAGTAGTGCTGGCTGCCCGGCCAGGTCAAAGATTTGACAAAGCCATAAATTAATTAAGTAATTACTTCTCCAATGGCTAGCCTTTTCAATTCCTCCCTGTAAATAAGAAGGGCAAACATAGCTTACACCACAACAGACTTGAAACTTAGAGTTATAAGCTAATAACTATAGCATTAATGGTTTCACGTAGCATATTCCAGCTTCAGGTTTTTCTCATCTTTGCTCTTGCAACAACAGCTTTCTCATCAGTATTGTCTCCTTATTACTATGAGAAAGTGTGTCCAAAAGCCTTGCCAACTATCAAACGAATAGTGGAAGCTGCTGTTTACAAGGAACGCCGCATGGGTGGCTCTCTTCTACGTCTGCACTTCCATGACTGTTTTGTTCAAGTAAAATACCCAACTGTTAACTTTTTCTCATTCTAACTCAAGTAATAATCTTGGTTTTTATAAGTGTCATGCATTCTCATATACTTTTGTCTTCATTATTCAGGGTTGCGATGCATCAATTCTCCTGGATGCTACATCCACCATCGACAGTGAAAAGAATGCACGTCCGAACCTAAATTCCATCAGAGGATTTGAAGTCATCGACCAGATTAAGAAAGAGGTTGACAAAATTTGTGGATTCCCAGTTGTTTCTTGTGCAGACATTTTGGCTGTTGCAGCTCGTGATTCTGTTGTTGCGGTATGTACTTAGTAATCCTTCTCTATCATTTTTCATTTTTATTTTTTTTGGGTATATTGTCAAGCAATAGACTAATATGTATCTAAAAGATTCACGCAATCACCCACCAATGAAAGAAACTGAAATGAGAATGAATTTTCTTCTTATACTTTTCCAAAAGTCTTTATACATTTTAACAAATTTCTACGGCTAATTTGTATATTGATAATGTGCAGCTTGGAGGACCATCATGGAAGGTACCACTGGGCAGAAGAGACTCAACCACAGCTAGCAGGAACTTAGCCAATAGCAACCTTCCATCGCCATTCATGGACCTCCCAGCACTAATCGAAAACTTCAAAAACCAAGGCCTCAACGAGAGAGACTTAGTGGCGCTCTCTGGTGGCCACACTCTTGGTTTCTCACAGTGTGTTCTCTTTAAAGAGAGAATTTACAACGGAACAAACATTGATTCTGACTTCGCAAAAGAGCGAAGAAAGACATGTCCACGTACAGGAGGGGACGCCAAACTTTCTCCTCTAGACCCAACATTTGCACGCTTTGATACTGCATATTTCTCCAACTTGATAAAGAAGAAGGGGCTTCTTGAATCAGATCAAGCCCTTTTCAGCGGTGGCTCAACTGATAAACTCGTAAAGACTTATAACTATAACCCAAAGGCTTTCTCTGCTGATTTTGCCTACTCTATGATTAAGATGGGGAACATAAAAGTATTGACAGGAAAGCGGGGTCAAATTCGTTCAAACTGCAGGAAGGTGAATCACTAGAGTGGTTATAGTTCTTGTATTTCTGTGTTCAATTCATTTATTCTCATTTGCAAGTGTAAAAAAAAAATTGAGTGAGTGAAATTGTTTGGGAGCAATGTCTTGTTGAATAAAATGCTTATTTTTTCGTAGGCTCGATTTTGAGCCGAAATATGCTGGTTGTTAGTTATTTTTAAATGATGTTTGCTTGCTTTAAATATGAAACGATTAAATTATAATAGTTTATATATAAAAAATAATTCACCCTTTCTGAATACGCTGTATTATGAACATATCAGTAATGTGGTTCCAAATAATTTTACTAATGTATATTTATAAAAAGAAAAAAAATATATATATATATATCTCAATTAATTTGCATCCTAAATAATACAACTGTGCCCGTACTTGATTAAACATAGCTATATGATTTGTAATATTATTATCTCTATATGATTTGTCACATCATCTCATAAAATGTTGTATTAATGAAAATATATAAAGTCTAAAGAAGTTATTTATTGAAAGTCATATCAACAATCTTAATTTAAAAATATATATAATACGTATATTTTTTTTTTTTAAACAGGATATCTGAATCGGTTTATATGTATTTCAACTAATTCAAGTAAATGACTTGAGACCGTGTGTCCTATTATTAGAACTATCCAAGCGTGACATAATATTATACCTAGGATTAATCTCCTGAATCTTTAGACTTGGGCATTTGGTAAGATTTATTCTTCAGGATATGAACACATTTTCGCGTGAAAGAAAATTCAAGCTGTTAAACATAATTAACTACAATTCTTTCTTAAACAAATAACCACACTATGCCAATTGTCAAGCCACCATCTAGTCGGTTGTCACTGCACTGAATAAATACAAGAATTATTTCAGTAAATAATAGCTTAAATTTTTGCAGAGTTGATCGAATCAACTCAATGTAGAAAAGAACAGGTCAGAGGTGCAAAAGGATCAGCTACAACGATGAGCAAGAAATGGACCGCTTCAGCGGCAACGTGCTTGAAGAAACTTAAAACAAAAGCGTACTACTTACTCTGGCCAATCACAATCTTAGTTTTCTTCCATTGTCGATATCCAACAAAGCTTCCTATCTAGATATTAATTTTAGATCAAATTGTGATGTGGATAGGATATCAAATCAAGATTAATTAATAATACCTAGAGACAGCAGTCAAGATATATATATCTAACCATTTTGAATGAATCAAATATGATGCAGCTGGGATCATATATATTACATTTTATTTTAATCTTTTATATATACAATTTGGCTGAATATTGAACATAGATTAACTTGCATTTATTTAGCCCTCAAAGTGATGTTCAATCCCTTTTAGTCAACCTCAAATTCATTTAAAAGTACATAAATTAATGAAATGTACATTGCTTACAGAGATTTCTTGCCTCGCCGGGCTATAAGGATAGCTGTAAAAAGTGAGCTTCTGAGAAGTTGTCATGTTGGCCAGGTCAAATAGAGTGACAAATCCTGAAATAATCAATTAATTACTTTGCACACTCTTCAAATTTTTAATATAAATGAGCGGAAGGTAAGGTCATAACCTATACTGTAATAGACCTAAAACTTATTAGAGTTACCGGCAATGGCTTCACGTAGCATATTCCTGCAGCTTCATGTCTTTCTGATATTGGCCCTTGCAACAACAACTTTTTCAAAAACACTGTCTCCTTATTACTATGAGAAAGTTTGCCCCAAAGCTTTGCCAACTATCAAACGAATAGTCGAAGCTGCTGTTTACGAAGAACGCCGCATGGGTGCTTCTTTACTACGTCTACACTTCCATGATTGTTTCGTTCAAGTACAACACCAACTGAGCTGTATATCTTTTCTTGTTTTTTCATTCATGCATGTACTTTTAATTTATAATTAAGTAGCTTTGCATGCACTCTTATATACTTGGTGTTTGCAACGTAGGGCTGTGATGCTTCCATTCTTCTGGATCCTACACCCACCATCGATAGTGAAAAGAATGCGTTTCCCAATATAAATTCCATCAGAGGGTTTGAAGTCATCGACAAGATTAAAAACAAGGTTGACAAAATTTGTGGACGCCCTCTGGTTTCTTGTGCAGATATTTTGGCTGTTGCAGCTCGTGATTCTGTCGTTGCGGTATGTATATATCAGTAAACCTTCTCTTATCTCTTTGTATCATTTCTAACGTTTCTTGTTTTTGGTATATTTTTCTTTTTTGGTCCAGCAATATAGACTAATATGTATCTCAAGATACACGAAAAATTACCAAAAAATTAGTTGGAGATTAGTGGGGAATGAGATATATAATATGCATGAAACTTTGATTAACAATTAAATCTTCTTTACATATGGCTAATTTTATATATATTAAAAATTTCGCAGCTTGGAGGGCCAACATGGAAGGTGCCATTAGGAAGGAGAGACTCAACCACAGCAAGCAGGGAGTTAGCCAACAGAGACATTCCATCGCCATTCATGGACCTCCCTGCACTAATTGACAACTTCAGAAGGCAAGGCCTCGACAAGAGAGACTTAGTGGCGCTCTCTGGTGGTCACACCCTTGGTTTCTCACAGTGTCGTTTCTTCAGAGACAGAATTTATAACGGAACGAACATTAATACTGGCTTTGCAAAAGAGCTACGAAATACCTGCCCACCTGAAGGAGGTGACAGCAACCTTGCTCCTCTAGACCCAACTCCTGTATGCTTCGACACTGCATATTTCTCCTATTTGATAAAGGAGAAGGGGCTTCTAGTATCTGATCAAGCACTTTTCAGTGGCGGCTCAACTGATGGGCTCGTTAAGACTTATAGCTATAACCCCAGGGTCTTCTCAGCTGATTTTGCAAACTCTATGATTAAGATGGGAAACATACAAGTGTTGACTGGAAGCAAGGTCAAATCGTAAGAACTGCAGGAAGGTGAACTACTGATTCTGTTTGTAATTGAGTTTGAATGACTGAAATTGCTTTGGAAATAAGTCTTGTTGTATCTATGGAAGATTTTCGTTGCCTTATTTGTGAATTGTCTTTCAAATTGTGTCTACATGATTTTCTATTCGATGAAATCAAGTACTGATCTTCAATTTATTACACGTATAATAGTATTTAAAAAAATTACTAATCACTTATAATAAGGTTTATCCACCTCTTAAGTCTTAAATAGCTCAACGGGTAGATGAATTCTAGATGTTAGATTAGCAGATCAAGTTCATATCCTTCTTACTCCTAAGATTTAACAGTGATTGTAAATTGCCAAACTCAAATTTTCCAATAACTAAGATAAAGACATGGCTTAATTCAAATTCTAACATTTCGTGGTTATAGGCCAATTTCTCATTTAGCAATATCATTATTATAACTTACAATTTTTGTGATTCATAACAATTTTTTTAAATATAATGTTTTGGGCCACAATGCTTGGAGCAATTACTTTAGCCCAATTTGAGAATTTGACCCACTTTACCACAGCTCTTTCATACCACAGAAACTGGCCTTTGAAGAGAAAAACTGTGGCTGTTTCACTGAGTCGTCTGATTCAATTCAACCATCTTGAAAGTTGAAACAGATAATAAGAGTCAAACCTCGTTTCTGTTGAATGAAGTACAAAAAGGAGGGAAAGCGGTTTGTCTTAGGTGAGAATAAAATAAAACCAGTGCAGTACCACTGGAAAATAACAGAATGATTCAGTACCGCCTTTGGAATGGAAGCAAAGGACTTTTTAAGTTCGTCTCGTCAATCAAAAGAAAGCCAGCAGGTTTTCACGTCGCCGGAGAGTAAGAAATTGACTGATCAAATAATGAGGAGTTTTTTACAAGCACAGCAAGAAGAAGATGCAGCACCAAAACATTGCGTGTGGATCATGTCCTTCCTGCTCCTAAGGACCCCATTGTTGTGTCACTGAAGCATATCAGCTGATTCTTCTCCCAACAAGATCAATCTTGGCGTGGTATTTTTGCTTCTTCTTCTAATCTTTGTCACTAATATTGGTCAAACCTTTTAATTTACTCTATTTATTATTTTATTTTTTCTAGGGACTTACAGGATGATGAAGGCAGGCCTGTTGTGCTTCATGTGTTAGAGAAGCAGAGCCAGATTGCGGGAAGTCGGTTCTTGTAAGTTCTAGTTTCTTCACTTCGTGTATTAGATCCCTTCTTTAATTAGAAATTATGGGCTATTGTTTCTTTAGAAGAGACCGGAGGTCATTTAAGTGGTGCGATTTTAGGATTCGATTAAAATGTTAAGAAATAGTTGTGACTTCTATAATTATTTGATTGACTTCTATAGAACGCCCTGGAATTGCACTGGATTCTGTAACCATATTATTTTTCTTGTAAAAGTACTGATAATTCTAAACTATCTTTGAGCAGGAGTCCAATTCTGCTGCAGTTAGTTCAAAATGGTCGAGGAGAGGTGAAAATTGTTATGGACAGGATTCAGATGTTGTTAATGAAGGAGTTTTGCTGGGTTCAAGCTCTATCTGGCACTGTGCATGCCGCCTGTTTGCTGAGTTTCAAAGGCGTTTCCATCTGAATCACGCATTATCTGCCTGATCCGACTTGGTCAAGTATGTTTGTTCTTCATCCTTTTAGTTCCTTACAGTTTATAGTCCAGGTTTTGTAATCTTGAAATGTTTTGGATATACTGAGATTGCTGTATGAATCTCTTCTTTCTTGTACTGAAATTCAAATGTATGTTGTACACCACCACAACATCTGAGGGATGCCCAAGTTCCAGCAAAAATATCACTACTACCATCCTGATTCGAAGGGTTTAAACTTTTCACGCTCATAGATGTATTAAGGTATGAAAGTCTTCACGCCTTAGGCTCAGTGACTCTCTGAATACAGAATTATGATTTCAAACGGTCCTAAGGAATATCAATGCCCTGCCACTGCAATGTCCAATGAAATAGTTTCCTTTCTGACTCTGTTTTTCTAATTCCCTCAAATATTTTTACTCTGAATATATAAGAAGGCACAGACATATGCATATGCATTCTACTCGTAGAAACCATGATACCTGATCATTATTGCTGATCATATGAGCATCTATATATTAAACCAAGCCAGTATAACATTAAGATATTTTACTGTCTTGTTTTCTTTTTGTTTGATGGTTTCTGTAGAATGCCCAGATGGTTCTTTTTTCTTACTC